CCACCGCTAAGCTAAAGGTGGCTAATGTTGGGCTATAAAGGAATTACAGCACGGTCACATGACTTCACGTCACCACCGCTAAGCTAAAGGAGGCTAATGTTGGTCTGTAAAGGAACTACAGCACGGTCACATGACTTCACGTCACCACCGCTAAGCTAAAGGAGGCTAATGTTGATCTGTAAAGGAACTACAGCACGGTCACATGACTTCACGTCACCACAGCTAAGCTAAAGGTGGCTAATGTTGGGCTATAAAGGAACTACAGCACGGTCACATGACTTCACGTCACCACCGCTAAGCTAAAGGAGGCTAACGTTGGGCTATAAAGGAACTACAGCACGGTCACATGACTTCACATCACTAACGCTAAGCTAAAGGAGGCTAATGTTGGGCTATAAAGGAACTACAGCACGGTCACATGGCTTCACGTCACCACCGCTAAGCTAAAGGTGGCTAATGTTGGGCTATAAAGGAACTACAGCACGGTCACATGACTTCACGTCACCACCGCTAAGCTAAAGGAGGCTAATGTTGGGCTATAAAGGAACTACAGCACGGTCACATGACTTCACGTCACCACCGCTAAGCTAAAGGAGGCTAACGTTGGGCTATAAAGGAACTACAGCACGGTCACATGACTTCACGTCACCACCGCTAAGCTAAAGGAGGCTAATGTTGGGCTATAAAGGAACTACAGCACGGTCACATGACTTCACGTCACCACCGCTAAGCTAAAGGAGGCTAATGTTGGGCTATAAAGGAACTACAGCACGGTCACATGACTTCACATCACCACCGCTAAGCTAAAGGTGGCTAATGTTGGGCCTTAAAGGAATTACAGCACGGTCACATGACTTCACATCACCACCGCTAAGCTAAAGGTGGCTAATGTTGGGCTATAAAGGAATTACAGCACGGTCACATGACTTCACGTCACCACCGCTAAGCTAAAGGAGGCTAATGTTGGTCTGTAAAGGAACTACAGCACGGTCACATGACTTCACGTCACCACCGCTAAGCTAAAGGAGGCTAATGTTGATCTGTAAAGGAACTACAGCACGGTCACATGACTTCACGTCACCACAGCTAAGCTAAAGGTGGCTAATGTTGGGCTATAAAGGAACTACAGCATGGTCACATGACTTCACGTCACCACCGCTAAGCTAAAGGTGGCTAATGTTGGGCTATAAAGGAACTACAGCACGGTCACATGACTTCACGTCACCACCGCTAAGCTAAAGGAGGCTAATGTTGGGCTATAAAGGAACTACAGCACGGTCACTTGACTTCACGTCACCACCGCTAAGCTAAAGGAGGCTAATGTTGGGCTATAAAGGAACTACAGCACGGTCACATGACTTCACATCACTAACGCTAAGCTAAAGGTGGCTAATGTTGGGCTATAAAGGAACTACAGCACGGTCACATGGCTTCACGTCACCACCGCTAAGCTAAAGGAGGCTAACGTTGGGCTATAAAGGAACTACAGCACGGTCACATGACTTCACATCACTAACGCTAAGCTAAAGGAGGCTAATGTTGGGCTATAAAGGAACTACAGCACGGTCACATGGCTTCACGTCACCACCGCTAAGCTAAAGGTGGCTAATGTTTGGCTATAAAGGAACTACAGCACGGTCACATGACTTCACGTCACCACCGCTAAGCTAAAGGAGGCTAATGTTGGGCTATAAAGGAACTACAGCACGGTCACATGACTTCACGTCACCACCGCTAAGCTAAAGGAGGCTAACGTTGGGCTATAAAGGAACTACAGCACGGTCACATGACTTCACGTCACCACCGCTAAGCTAAAGGAGGCTAATGTTGGGCTATAAAGGAACTACAGCACGGTCACATGACTTCACGTCACCACCGCTAAGCTAAAGGAGGCTAATGTTGGGCTATAAAGGAACTACAGCACGGTCACATGACTTCACATCACCACCGCTAAGCTAAAGGTGGCTAATGTTGGGCCTTAAAGGAATTACAGCACGGTCACATGACTTCACATCACCACCGCTAAGCTAAAGGTGGCTAATGTTGGGCTATAAAGGAATTACAGCACGGTCACATGACTTCACGTCACCACCGCTAAGCTAAAGGAGGCTAATGTTGGTCTGTAAAGGAACTACAGCACGGTCACATGACTTCACGTCACCACCGCTAAGCTAAAGGAGGCTAATGTTGATCTGTAAAGGAACTACAGCACGGTCACATGACTTCACGTCACCACAGCTAAGCTAAAGGTGGCTAATGTTGGGCTATAAAGGAACTACAGCACGGTCACATGACTTCACGTCACCACCGCTAAGCTAAAGGAGGCTAACGTTGGGCTATAAAGGAACTACAGCACGGTCCTATGACTTCACATCACCACCGCTAAGCTAAAGGAGGCTAACGTTGGGCTATAAAGGAACTACAGCACGGTCACATGACTTCACATCACCACCGCTAAGCTAAAGGAGGCTAACGTTGGGCTATAAAGGAACTACAGCACGATCACATGACTTCACATCACCACCGCTAAGCTAAAGGAGGCTAACGTTGGGCTATAAAGGAACTACAGCACGGTCACATGACTTCACATCACCACCGCTAAGCTAAAGGAGGCTAACGTTGGGCTATAAAGGAACTACAGCACGGTCACATGACTTCACGTCACCACCGCTAAGCTAAAGGTGGCTAATGTTGGGCTATAAAGGAACTACAGCACGGTCACATGACTTCACGTCACCACCACTAAGCTAAAGGTGGCTAATGTTGGGCTATAAAGGAACTCCAGCACGGTCACATGACTTCACGTCACCACCGCTAAGCTAAAGGAGGCTAACGTTGGGCTATAAAGGAACTACAGCACGGTCACATGACTTCACGTCACCACCGCTAAGCTAAAGGAGGCTAACGTTGGGCTATAAAGGAACTACAGCATGCTAACTACTCCACTCACCGAGGTACAGGCTTCCCTTGGTGTTCACCATGAGGCTCCGGCCCTTAGACTGACCGTGCAGTTCTGCTCCTCCGTCGATCTGGATGAATCCGTTTTTCCCAGTCCTGCAGGAAGAGAGGAGCATGAAGAAGAGCTGATAGCTACAAAGCTTGTTCCTATATATTTATAATCTCCCATCATACCTGACAGCTGTGATTTTGTGCCATCTCTCATCATTGATGGACCTCTGGGACCGGATCACTGCCTCTCCGCTGCCCAGCTGGAAACTGCAGATCACACGACCATCAGCATTAAATAAAGGTGAAACTAATACAAGTATGATCTAACAACCCAGTCTCACGGCATTTCGTGTTATAGTCACGAAATTAATGTAATCTATTGATTCGTGTTCACCAACACGATTTTCACCTTTTTTTCGTGTCACACAGAACGATTTCAAAAGCAATGTATTTCTATTGGTAGTATGTTTCGTGCCGGCACCACGTCTTTTTGTCCGGTCGGGTTGGAAGACCAGAAGCTGTGTGGTTCATAAAAACATGTTCTTACTCAATATCTTACCCTAAGCCTAACCCTATCCCTTTTAGTTTTTTTGCCGTCAGTGAGGAAAAGAAATGGCTCAGAGCCTCAGAATACTGACATCTGTATTTTATTTCATCTTTTTTTCCTTCTAATTTGTTATTATTTGGTGCAGGCACGAAACATACTACCAATATAAATACATTGCTTCTAAAATCGTTCTGTGTGACACGAAAAAAATGGCGAAATCGTGTTGGTGAACACGAATCAATAGATTAATTTCGTGACTATAACACGAAATGCCGTGAGACTGTGTTGGATCTAAAGAACAGGCGTAGGACAGGCGTTAGGCGTCACCTGAAGACCAGGTGTCCGTCCTGCAGGCCGAGGCTGATGAAGTCTTTTCCTTTCCCGTGTTCTCCCACTTCCTGCAGAGAATGTGTTCAGTGAGCGGAGGAAGAGGAAAGGGTTTATCCTGAGAAGCTGTTCTGAGTCTTTCTATTCAACATTCAAAGGTCTTCTCAGCTCATGCTCAGCAGCTACAGGGTGAACATGGCACACTGCTGTGTTCACTTGCTGCTGCTACGTTCATGTTCCTGCTGCTGTGTTTCATGTCGCTGCTGCTCGCCTGCCCCACCACCCCAGCTTCCACCTGTAGGCTCGGGGGATAGTTATCTAATCATCACTCAATGTTCTCTGTAAATCTGTGGAGTGATGAGGCCCGAGCCTAGACGCCAAACTCAAACTATATGCTGCTTCTAATGAACATATTAAGAAACACGTGAGAGATGCCTGACTGAAATATAATTAAATACAACAATACAAAATAAAAAACAGTGCAAGAAGTCTATATCCATGTAAACAGAATATGATATGTACAAGAACAGAATGAGAAATTAAATAATGTACATTAAGACAACATTAAATAAGGTTTATTGAGGTGATTACTATCTATATGAATCAGTAGATTACAAGATGACCAACAGGTGAATGTTTATGGAGGCACTTTACAGAGCTATTATTATATTATCAACTGTTATTAGATAAGATGGAACTTTATTTATAAATGCAGGCGGTTATAGCAGCAACAGGTTCAGAGTTAAAAACAGGAATCATACGAGGTAAGAATAAAGACTAAATACAATACAATACAAATGAATAATAAAGTGATAAAGTAACTATTGAAACAAGATATCACAGTAAGAAGTTGAGCATTTTAATAAACATATTAAATGATTATATATATGTTATCTATATCATATTCCATGTACTTGTATAGAGACTCTTCTAGAGACTATTTCTATTGCATTTGTATTTACCTGCACATCTCCAAACATTCCCGTGCTCTATCTGATCTGTTTCTATGTCCTATATATATTCATGCTGGAGGAGGACTTCAGTGTTTCATAGCCATATCTACACTGCAGCTGCGGAACACATGATGGAGACTTGAATCTTGGATTTTCAGAAAAAAGTCAGGATTTTTTGGATTTTCTGAAAAAAAGTCAGGATTTTTTGGATTTTCTGAAAAAGTCAGGATTTTTTGGATTTTCTGAAAAAAAGTCAGGATTTTCTGGATTTTCTGAAAAAATGTCCGAATGTTCTGATTTTCTGAAAAAAGTCAGGATTTTTTGGATTTTCTGAAAAAAAGTCAGGTTTTTTTGGATTTTCAGAAAAAAGTCAGGATTTTTTGGATTTTCTGAAAAAAAGTCAGGATTTTTTGGATTTTCTGAAAAAAGTCAGGATTTTTTGGATTTTCTGAAAAAAAGTCAGGATTTTTTGGATTTTCTGAAAAAAAGTCAGGATTTTCAGATTTTCTGAAAAAAAAGTCAGAATTTTCAGATTTTCTGAAAAAAGTCAGGATTTTTTGGATTTTCAGAAAAAAGTCAGGATTTTTGGATTTTCTGAAAAAAAGTCAGGATTTTTTGGATTTTCTGAAAAAAAAGTCAGGATTTTCAGATTTTCTGAAAAAAAAGTCAGAATTTTCAGATTTTCTGAAAAAAGTCAGGATTTTTTGGATTTTCAGAAAAAAGTCAGGATTTTTGGATTTTCTGAAAAAAAAGTCAGAATTTTCAGATTTTCTGAAAAAAGTCAGGATTTTTTGGATTTTCAGAAAAAAGTCAGGATTTTTTGGATTTTCTGAAAAAAAGTCAGGATTTTTTGGATTTTCTGAAAAGTCAGGATTTTTTGGATTTTCTGAAAAAAAGTCAGGATTTTTTGGATTTTCTGAAAAAAAGTCAGGATTTTCAGATTTTCTGAAAAAAAAGTCAGAATTTTCAGATTTTCTGAAAAAAGTCAGGATTTTTTGGATTTTCAGAAAAAAGTCAGGATTTTTGGATTTTCTGAAAAAAAAAGTCAGAATTTTCAGATTTCTGAAAAAAAGTCAGGATTTTTTGGATTTTCAGAAAAAAGTCAGGATTTTTTGGATTTTCTGAAAAAAAGTCAGGATTTTTTGGATTTCTGAAAAAAAGTCAGGATTTTCAGATTTTCTGAAAAAAAAGTCAGAATTTTCAGATTTTCTGAAAAAAAGTCAGGATTTTTTGGATTTTCAGAAAAAAGTCAGGATTTTTGGATTTTCTGAAAAAAAAGTCAGAATTTTCAGATTTTCTGAAAAAAAGTCAGGATTTTTTGGATTTTCTGAAAAAAAAGTCAGGATTTTTTGGATTTTTTCTGAAAAAAAGTCAGGATTTTTTGGATTTTCTGAAAAAAGTCAGGATTTTTTGATTTTCTGAAAAAAAGTCAGGATTTTTTGGGATTTCTGAAAAAAAGTCAGGATTTTCAGATTTTCTGAAAAAAAAGTCAGAATTTTCAGATTTTCTGAAAAAAGTCAGGATTTTTTGGATTTCAGAAAAAAGTCAGGATTTTTGGATTTTCTGAAAAAAAAGTCAGAATTTTCAGATTTTCTGAAAAAAAGTCAGGATTTTTTGGATTTTCTGAAAAAAAGTCAGAATTTTCAGATTTTCTGAAAAAGTCCGAATTTGACGATTTTCAGAATTTACGAAAAATGACTGTATCCATCTTTTATTTGATTTATTTGTTTTATTAGTTCTATGTCCTATATATATTCATGTTGCTCTGCTGGAGGAGGACTTCACTGTAGCTGCTGAGCTCATGGTGAGAGAGACGTGAGTCAGAAAACATGACACACACATGTTGTCCCGTAGGATCTGTACAAAACAACCGTCTGTGCAGAGTAACAGAAGCCTTAGTGTCCGTGTGCAGAAACAACTCAAAAGACATCCAGTATGGGATGCTGTTTCATTTCAAATCAATATGGCTATGAAATAAATACTCAAATAAATAAATAAGGTAATACATATATATATAATATAGGAGGCTGTGGCACAGTGGGATAGTGCTGGTTCAATCCCCTCTGCAGTCAGCATGTCTGTGGGAAAGACACTTCCACAGAATTGAAGGTATTTTTAGTCACTTTGGGTTCAAGCGTCTAATAAGTCACATGTTGTAAATCGGTCCCTACATTTCTATTAAAAAAAAAACTTTTTCATTTCAAATAAATGCATTTATTTTCACCAGCGTTTTAATTAATTTTATAATTGTATTTATTTATTGTTTGCACTTGTATCCAGTGCATTGCCCTCTGTGGTTGTTGCTTTCCTTAATTTGCTAAGTAATGTGTATTAGTAGAAAATATGATATTTAAATTAAACTATATTTATTAATTTATTTGTTTTTTATTTATTTACACATTTATTTATTTCACAGCTCTTTTTCTCCAGGATTTACATTTAAATGCATTTTCTAATTGATGCGTGTGTGTGTGTGTGTGTGTGTGTGTGTGTGTGTGTGTGTGTGCGTGCATGTGTTTGTGGGGTTGAGTGTGTGTGTGGGCGTGCGTGTGTGTGTGTGTGTGGGCGTGCGTGTGTGTGTGTGTGTGGGCATGCGTGTGGGTGTGTGCATGCGTGTGTGTGTGTGTGTGTGTGTGTGTGTGTGTGTGTGTGTGTGTGTGTGTGTGTGCGTGTTACTTATATATGTAATGTAACTCATACCCATGTGTATGTAGTTATACTGAATCCTCTACAGGTAAATAAACACTTCACATAATAACATCATCTCCATGTTGTCGTTCAGTCGGTGTCAGTGTTACCTTTTTAATAGCATGCACCTTTCTGCCTTTGGTCTCCTGAGGAAGATGGAGGTGAGTTAGAGAAGCAACATGCGTTATTACTTTATTACTGATGGGGGGGGGGAGGGGGGGGGGGGGGCTGCAGCCAGCATGCCAACAACGACCGATTAATGACATTCAAATGCAGAATTATGGAATGGATATGTAAAAACACTCAGTGATGATATGAACAGGTGAGGAGACACAGGTGAGGAGACGAGGAGACACAGGTGAGGAGACACAGGTGAGGAGAGACAGGTGAGGATGAAGGAGGAGGAAGATGTGAGCTTTAAGATTAGGATTAAAGGTGGATCAATGCTTTTATGTAATTTAAGTAATAATGAATCAGGCGGCTTGCAGCCAATAAGGTGGCCTGCAGCCAATAAGGCGGCCTGCAGCCAATAAGGTGGCCTGCAAATAAGGCGGCCTGCAAATAAGGCGGCCTGCAAATAAGGCGGCCTGCAGCCAATAAGGCGGCCTGCAGCCAATAAGGCGGCCTGCAGCCAATTAGGCGGCTTGCAGCCAATAAGGCGGCTTGCAGCCAATAAGGCGGCCTGCAGCCAATAAGGCGGCCTGCAGCCAATAAGGCGGCTTGCAGCCAATAAGGCGGCCTGCAGCCAGCATGCCGACAACGACCCATTAAATGATCTTAAAATGCAGAGTTATGGAAGAGATGAAAACACTCAGTGACGATCACGTCTGAACAGGTGAGGAGGAAGAGGAGGAGGAAGATGTGAGGTTTAAGGTTAGGATTAAAGGTGGGTCAGTGCTTTAATGTAATATAATGAAAGATGAAGTCGTACCACTCCCTGCCAGAGGATCAGACCCTCAGAGGAACTGGTGTTGATCTCCAGCTCGAGGGTCTCTGGGGAGTTGGGGGCGCTGGAACAGATTTAAAAAGATCATGCATGTTTACATCCACTAATAATGCAGTTACACACCATCTGATTTAGAAAAAGTAGATCCTTTCTTAGTGACGCTCTCCCTGAGGTCATTTCACAACATGTTATTATACTGCTGCACCTCTGCAGGATTAGCTGGGTTTACGATGTTGATGTTTAACTGAATTCTATGGATTCTCTGGTTTCCTCTGATGCACATGTGAAGCAATTGGAACATCTTTTGTGTCTGAAATAAACTCTATAAATAAACAAACATTAGTTAAAACTCTCAGAATAATAAACACACCACTATAAGATGATAAAACATGGACTTTAAGTTGATGTTGAAATGATTGATAATATAAATATAAACGGCAGGCACCTTCTTGGGAAGACGGTTTTAGGAAGAGCGATATATCCATCGTCCTGGAAGTGAGCGGCATACTGGTACGGAGAGTCTAGAAAACAACAGGAAATAAACGTTAACAATGAAGTAGAAACGATGACTCGGTGTTAGGGCGCCCTCTGGTGGGGAAGCAGGGAGGAGAGAGGGGGTTAGAAACAGAAACAGAGGGAGACTTCACTTTTATCTGTTGGTTTGAAGCAGAAGAAATAACATTTACTTTAATAATGAGAAGCGTTCAGAAGCAGTTAATCAAAGGCACCATGCTGAGTTGAAAGCTCTCAGAGGAATGCTGTTAGCAACATGTGTTTCTGGACAGATCATTTTACACCATGCACTCTCACCAGGGACAACATGAATGATGTTTCAAACTTTAAACCTTTAAAGTCACACAACAGGAGAGGAACTCCCCCCCCCCCTCCTCTCTCAGGGCTTTTGAACATGTCAGTATTAAAAGTTAAGTTACTTGTCAGACGTCTCGTAGCTCCTCCTAGCAGAGCATCTTCCCCACAAGACTCTACAGAGTTATTAAAGATTAGCTAATATCAGATTTGACATAATAATAATAATAATAATAATAATACATCATAGCTAAAAGCAATCCCTAGCTGCTACAGTCGGTGCATAAAAGACCTGCCACAAATGTATGACTTTTTCTAAAAATTTGAAAATTCTTATTTTTTTCCAAAAATTGCAAAATGTTAACCGTTTCAGAACATTTCAAAAATCATTATTTTTTCTAAAAATTCTGACTTTTTGCAAAAAAATCTGACTTTTTTCGGGAAATTGCAAAATGTTAACTTTTTCAGAACATTTCAAAAATCATTCTTTTTTAGAAAAATTCTTGCTTTTTTCGGAAAATGTCAAAAGTTCTTACTTTTTCTCAAAATCTGAAAATTCTTACTTTGCGCTGAAAATGTCAAAATTCTGACTTTTTGATAAAAAATTTGACTTTTCTAAAAAATCGTACTTTTTCCCAAAAAATCTTACTTTTTTCGGGAAATTGCAAAATGTTAACTTTTTCAGACATTTTCAAAATTCTTACTTTTTTCGGAAAATCAAAACAATTCACACTTTTTTCTCAAAATTCACACTTTTTGCTCAACATTCTTACATTTTTCTGAAAATCTGAAAATTCTTATTTTTTTCTGAAAATCTCAAAATTCTTACTTATCTTAAAAACTTCAGAATTCTTACTTTTTTCTAAAAGTTAGGACATTTTTCAAAAAAATTCAAAATTCTTACTTTTTCAAAAAGTCTTAAACATTTTTCTAAATTCTGACTTTTTTATGAAAATCTAAAAATGAATCCTGCAGTCACTAACAGAGGATGCAGTAAAACCATCCCATCACCTCACCTGGGAATCATCTCTGATAAAACTCACTGTTTATATACTCACGGCTGCTGGAGCTAAACCAGAAGAACTAACACATTTGAACAGGAAGTGGGAAAAGTGTGTTTTAATGCTTGGAAATCCAACTCTTTTGAATTAATGAAAGAAGGATGATGTTATTCTCTTTCTGTAAAAGCAAGTCTCACTTTCTGAGCCCAGAAATCCATCCTCACACAGAAACAAGAACATGAAACCCTTCAGGACAAACAGACCAGACTCCATGATGCAAACTCAGGAAGTCCTCAGCAACACCTGAGCAGGTAAAGTGCAAGTCCTCCCCGTCACCATGGAAACATGCACCACATTCAGCTCAGAGTGCACTGTGTTTTTAAAGACACCCTGTTAGTAGCGGGGCAAAGTGCAGGAAGTGTTTCTGATGGTTTCTTGTTTTTATGAAGTGAGTAGAGCCTCTCTCAGGCGATGACATGAGGACAGAAAGACAAGAGGAATCCCACATTTTCCCAAAAACCAGGCGTTGCAGATCGTCCCGTTGTCTCAGAAAGATGCAGAAGGTTAGAGGTTAATGTTAGTCGCAGACAGGCTGAATACTGTACCATTGGACTCGCTACCCTCCAAACTCAGCAGGGCGGCGGGGGGGCTGGAAGCGTGGCCTGTGTGTGCAGGATATCGTTATAGGAGGGATCTAATTGGCTCTCAGCAAGTTCTTAAAGTATAATGGTATATGACCCCCGGCTGAAACTCGTGCTTGTCTTATATTGTACTTCTTAAATATATATATGTGAGCCGCTATTACACAGTGGGATTCATTCATTCAAAATTCTGACTTTTTTCTGAACATTTCAAGATTCTAAATTGTTCTGAAAATGTCCATATTTTAACTTTTTCTGCAAAATTCTGACTTTTTTCAAAATTCTGACTTTTTTCTGAGAATCTCAGAATTTAAACTTTTTTTTCAAAATGTAAACTTTTTTTTCAAAATTTAAACTTTTTTCTGAAAATGTCAAAATGTTAACCTTTTCTGAAAATTCTTTATTTTTTCTGAATAAAATTTAACATTTCTGAATATTCTTTCAATATTTAAACTTTTTCCAAAAATGTCCAAATTCTTACTTTATCAGAACATTTCAACTTTTTTTTCCAAATTATTACTTTTTTCTGAAAATCTCTAAATTCGTAATTTTCTGCAATATACACTTTTTTATTATAATATATATTGTAATGACTGTCTGCTATTTCCCTGCCGTACAACAGATGTGTACCCGTCTGATTTTACTTTATGAACATGTGAGTCTAATCCCTTTATCTGCACCGTCCCTCCACTGCGGGACAAGTGATATCTGATATCTGATAACAGGTTGATGTGCTCCTCATGATGAAGCTGCTCAGTACTCACTCTCCTCACAGTTATATTTAGACAGTGATATCTGATATCTGATCACAGGTTGATGTGCTCCTCATGATGAAGCTGCTCAGTACTCACTCTCCTCACAGTTATATTTAGACAGTGATTATGAATGAAGATCACAGGTTGATGTGCTCTTCATGATGAAGCTGCTCAGTACTCACTCTCCTCACAGTTGGGCCCTGTGTGTCCGGCTGCACACACACACTGTCCGTCTTCACAGCTGCCTCCGTTCACACACTGCAGGTTGTTCTGACACGCCTCCTTCACCACCTCGCAGCGCTCTCCTGCAGGGGAACAGGGGTCAGGGGGTCAAGTTCACAAAAAAGGCAGGTCAAATTTCAAATTTCCAAATTCTTTCTCAATATTTCCAAATTCTTACATTTTTCTTATTAAACATGTTCTGCAAGCTGAAAGTAGCCTATTTACTGATGTAGGGTTAACAAAAATGTCAACAAATAAAATATATACATTCAAGGACAGATCTCATGCATGCTTTATTCCTCTAGGGTTTAATAGGATCACTGACCCTCGAACCCGTCCCTGCAGAGGCACTGGAACTCGTACTCTGCGCTGGACATGCAGGTTCCTGCGTTGAGGCAGGGTCTGCGGTCACATGGGCTGCCGTCCACACAGCTGGAGACCCCCCGGCTCTCTGTGAAGCTGTAGGACAGGTCCAGCTTCTTGTTGTTGATCGACACCTGAGAGGAAAGACCACGTTAAAGATAACACTTACAGAAATATAGATAGATAGAGAGAGAGAGAGAGAGAGAGAGAGAGAGATAGAGAGAGAGAGGGAGAGATAGAGAGAGACAGAGAGAGAGAGAGAGAGAGAGAGAGAGAGAGAGAGAGAGAGAGAGAGAGAGAGAGAGAGAGAGAGAGAGAGAGATAGAGAGAGATAGAGAGAGATAGATAGATAGATGGATATTTCCTCCACTGCCTAACAATAGTATAATAGGAGACCCTTAAATAACGTTTGGACCCCCTGTCTCACCTCTCCGATGCAGCCCTGGAACATGTGGCTGATGTTGGCCGGTTTGGGCAGGATGTCGGCGGTGGGGACCCCCCCCAGGAACATGTGTGTGTGGATGTTGAGGCCCTGGGCTTTCCCCGGAGACGTCTTCCTCTCCAGGGGCCCCCGGTCCACCTGCAGGACCCCCGCCCTCTTGATGCGCTCCGCCACCACGCGGTGCCACTGGCCCAGAGACACCGGGGCAGAGCTGAGCAGGACCGCCTGGCCTGGGGGGGGGACGGGTTAGAACACATGTAAGATCCAGGACACATAGATATATACTTTAATAATCCATAGTTCATCTACAAGAATTACACGATTTCTTGAAAATAAAATAAGTACAAAATAATACCTATATTCAGAGGAGTATGTAAACATTATAATATCTACAGAATCATTTTGAAATGTACTGAACATATAAACGTAGTGTAGTAAAGTCTGTTTAACCCCTTCCCTTCCTCTGTAATGGTTTCTGCTTGATTTGATAAACCCCCCCTCTGTTGTCTTTGCTCAGAACTCTTTCTCTCTGTAAATGTTCTCAGTAATGTGTCTACCTGTCCCCAGCTCGTATCTGAACTCCACGTGTCCGTCCACCATGGACACGGAGACAAAGTCCTCCACCTTCATCTTCCTCCCCCCGCAGAAGAACATCAGGCCGTTGGCGTGCAGCGGCTTGAACTCCAGCTCCACCTTCAGGTCGTCGTGCACGATGCTGAGGGGGGGGTAGGCGATGTACGAGGCCTCGCCGTCAAACAGGGGGGTCGTCACCAGCTCGCCTGCAGAGGGGGGGGCGTGCACGGTGAAGACACACACACACACACACACACACTAATAATGCTGTGTTTGTTTATCTATATCGCTCTTACCCTGCATGCACTTGTCTCCGGACTTCCCCAGGTGGCAGCGGCAGTCGTACCCGAGTCCGTTCTGACGGTTGATGCAGGTGGCGTCCGGACCGCAGGCCTCTGAGGGGGGGGGGGGAGGCGGGGGGTGGGGGAGACACACAGATAGAGTTGATAGCAACGTGCAGGGTCCGGTTAAAATATATAATGTATGATGTCCTTTATTGTTTTATGTTTCATGTGGAACCTATATGCTAAGGTTAAATAAAGGTTTGAGATGAACTTCTAATGTCCTGAGGAAATCCTTGGGCTGTGTGTGTGTGTGTGTGTGTGTGTGTGTGTGTGTGTGTGTGTGTGTGTGTGTGTGTGTGTGTGTGTGTGTGTGTGTGTGTGTACCTGCGTGGCAGTGCAGGGAGGAGTGGTGCTGGCAGTTGCTCCCTGTGAACCCTCGGGGGCAGCTGCACTGATACAGGCTGGCCTCTGAGTCCTCACATTGACCCGCGTTCTGAGGGGGGGGGGGGGGGGTTAGACATGCTACTATCATACATCATGTGATCAGACACTATCTGTTGGGAACATACTGAATGTCCTCTTCCAATCTGAGAGTAACATGATAACTAAGGTACCCCAACTGTAGCTGTGTACATGACAGGATGTATGATTACCTAGAAGAGCATCAGGACTGTTTGAGGCATATGATAGCTATGTGATTAACATGATGATTCAGCCTCTATGGAGATAGACATCAAGCATGCTCATTTCTGACGTGGAGCTAATCTGAAGTAAACATTGAATACTGCTTTCTATTCCTCCATCTTGTGACTGTGTAACTCCCTCTCTTGGATATCAGCATGTGAAGGACACTGTTCAGGAACTAGTTGATGCTCTGTATGTGATGACTACTTCCATTCTGGAGAGGATCACAGATACATGGATCCTGAGATTGAAGCTCAAGCCGGGGACCAGGGAGAGTTCTCTAACACTAACTCAGCAGGTGTGTGAATGCAGCGCACCTGGCAGGGCTGGTCCTTGCAGGTGGGGCAGTTTGAGACTCCGATGGAGCTCCGGCCCAGGTCCTTGAAGATCACCTCGTCCCCCTGGATCAGCAGCTGCTGGATACACCCTGCACACACACACACACATTACATATTAAACACATATTATTACTCCCTCTTAAACCCATAAGAACCCACGGTGACACAGGTGACACAGGTGACACAGGTGACACAGGTGACACAGGTGACACAGGTGACACAGGTGACACAGGACATTTAAACGTTCTGGAAAGTTCCATATTCAGCTTTAGCCTTTATTGTATCTCATGAAGTCCCTCAGTGACACACACTGAACAGGGGTAGTGGTGGTCTAATGGATAGTGAGGTGGGCTGAAGGTTGTGAGTTCAAATCCCGCCAGGAACACCACCACTAGTGCGCCCTTGAGTAAGGCACTTAGTCCTTAGTTACTCCAAGGAGAATGTCCCTGTAATTTGTCATTGTAAGTCGCTTTGGATAAAAGCGTCAGCTAAATGAAATGTAATGTAATGTAACAGTCTGGGGGGTCATGGGCCAGGTCATGTGACTTTGTGTTCCCATGACAACATGTCCCAGATGTCCATGGGCCAGGTCATGTGACTTTGTGTTCCCATGACAACATGTCCCAGATGTCCATGGGCCAGGTCATGTGACTTTGTGTTCCCATAACACCATGGGCCAGGTCATGTGACTTTGTGTTCCCATGACAACATGTCCCAGATGTCCATGGGCCAGGCTAGCACATGTGACGGATCGAGCTACATTTCAGAAGCTTGCTTCTTGTTGCTAAAGGTCAGATTCAAGCCATTTAAGAATTATAATGCTTACACAACATGTCCTTTAATACATTGAACTTGTTGTGAAAACACGTGTTGATCAAATGTATATGAAACAAATAACATTAATGTCACATCGAGACTTTAACCTTAACATTTCACAGTAAATCTGGAGTGACACATATTTCTCACAATTAGAAATATGATCTTCTCAGTGGATTTAGCTGATTCAATTATATTTAGTTCATATATTCTTTATTCTTCAGTGCAGAGAATGTTCAAACAAATATAAACCAAAAAATCCTCCTCATTAATGAAGTTATAAATAAGAGATTAACGCCCAATGGGACATACATGCCCCTTCTCAGATCTCTGACACTAGGGGGCGCTACTTGTCAGAAATGTGTTCGAGGTGGTCTATTCAGTCTGAATGATGTTCCCCTTCATTCCCCATAGGTAGAAATGGGTCCAGGCTCTTCTGGCCTTTCAGTTAATGTTTCATGTTTTACAAGAGAGTGAACTTTACACGTCTAACTATGACATATAGATATATTGAACATATATTACTGCTCTCTCTTTGATACGTCCTGAGCTCTTACCCACGAAGCCGCTCTTGATGCCGGCGGTCTTGGCGAGGCTGGTGTAGTTGGGGTACCCCCCCACGTGCAGATCCTCGTTCAGATCCAGACCCTGGAACTTCCCCTGAAGAAACACACCTGTTACTGCGTGGGATTGGTGGAGACGCACACATCTATCATCACATGACTTTTCTAAGAGATCCACTCGGCAGTTTCCACGCAAATAGAAAAAAACAGAAAATGTTTCCCCATAGGAATGAATGGAAGATCTCCCTGCACAGAGCTCAAAGTCACCCAACTTTGAGGTCACACTGCTCCGTCCTACTTTAACATAGAACAAAGATTAAAGGTTTAATCTACTCTACGGACTCTCCTCTTTCTTGGACTAAAAGGGATTTTTGACAGATGGAATGGTTTTCCTAAAATCCCAGTTTAAAGTGGACCTATCATGCTATATTTGAATCATATAGTGTAGGACCATACCTATATCAGGCATATTTATACTTTTTTATTTTCAAAATACCAAACAGATCATGCATTTTAGCCATGCCTCATTTTGCTTAATTTGACATTTTTTAGCTCTGTTTTAGCAAGGGCTGATTCAGTGAGAACAGCACCACCTACAGGCCTGGCATATGTACTACAGCGTCTCCAGCGCTTTCGAACGGCAATGGCCGTGGCTGTCTCCTCCTGATAGGTGGAGAGTTGGCCCAATAGCCGTAGCGCCACCGTCCTGACGTCAGGACAGTGTTCAAATCTGGATCAGTTTTTATCAGATCCGTTGCAGCCCCTTTTTTAGAGATTTGGGTATGGAGGAAAATAGAGAGGGTTGTGTTTTCTGACACTTGGTGAGTTCCCTGGAACACCGGGGACACATATTCATGTATACAAGACGTACACAAGTGCATTTTGCATGATAGGTCCCCTTTAAGTTTTGGTACATTTTCAGCGCGTGTCAGATGTTATAATGGGTGTGTATGTGACGGAGAGCTAAAGTTATGACATCATCAGTTAGAGTGTAGAGAGTCTTCAAAATGTCCTGAAAAAAGCTCCTAACCTGCTCTGCATCCCATAATAATCACCTGCTCTGCATCCCATAATAATCACCTGCTCTGCATCCCATAATAATCTCTCTTTTCACATCATATGAGATGATCTCAGCGTTGTCTCGAAGCCTTCATCATATCGACCATATCTTGCAAACAAACCCAAATAAGCGTCAACACAACACGTGTATTTCATATGAATAACAGAACCAAAGTGTACCTGTGACTTCCCGCTGATGGGCTCCCCCCCGTCGACCCGGATGGACCCCAGCGTGTTGTTCCTCTGCAGCTCCACCGTGTGGAACTCCCCCAGCTTAACAGGGAGGGGGTCTCTGATGGTGGCCATGCCCGAGCCCACGTCAAACCTGAGACAACAACAACAACAGGGACATTAATAACTACACTCTGCACTGTGCCGTGCCCCTGATGGCCCGTGCTCTGTGGTTATTCACCACTTCATTCTTTTATTTCTGCTTTTCCTTTTGACTATTTCTTTTTTGTTTTTGAACAACAATGGCCACGTTTTGTCCTGAAAGTTTAGTGGTTATTTTTCTGCTACTTTCGTCCCTTTTTGTTACGGAGAGCAACGGACAATGGGGTGACGGACTATTTTCATTTTCATTTGATTTTTTATTGTTATCTCTCTTCCACTTTTTAAGTATTTGTATTTGAATGTTGAGCACACTGGTCCTGTCCACCTATCCATCTATCTATCTATCTATCTATCTATCCATCTATCTATCTATCTATCTATCTATCTATCTATCTATCTATCTATCTATCTATCTATCTATCTATCTATCTATCTATCTATCTATCCATCCATCTACATATCTATCTATCCATCCATCCATCCATCTATCCATCCATCCATCCATCTATCCATCTATCCATCCATCCATCCATCTATCCATCTATCCATCCATCCATCTATCTATCCATCTATCTGTCTGTATAAATAACCAACATGAAATGCTGCTGTGTTTGTGTTTCAGTGGGAGATGTTTCTCTCCTCTCTGACCTGAACTCCAGTCGCCCCCACACCAGTCCCAGAGAGATGAAGTCTGCTCCGGTGCTCCTCTTCTGGCCGTTATAGAGGATCATTCCTGCAGCAGACACACAGCAGGAGTCAACAACAACAACAACAACATGATGCTAAATGCATGCTCTGCAATCACATCCATCTCAACAAGCCGGTATTAAACAAGTGGAATCTTTTGTAAGTTCAGGAAGGCTGAGTTATTTTTTCCTTTTGCAATCCTGAAGAAAACATCTGATGCTACTCGCAGAAAAAAGACAGGAGATAAATATTGGGAAAAGAAATACTTTTGAGATTTTCAAAAAAAAAGAATTTCCAGATTTTTTTCAGGAAAAAGTACGATTTTTTTTAAAAGTAAGATTTTTGAAATGTTCAGAAAAAAGTAAGAATACTGGCGATATTCGACTTAATGTACGTTAGGACTGAACTTAAATACAGGTTTGAGGTACTTTAGAGTATATACTTGATATAGACGCTGCAATGCACCACATATCTGACTGCTTTAGTGACGAACAGTGCAGATACAAGACTTGGGATTCATGTTGTGTGACTTGTTGGGATGGATACTGTTTGCAGTAGATGGTAAACTCTCTGGAGCTGGGTGGAGGAGCAGCATGCCATGGTGCTGCAGGTGTAAAGCCAACCAAAGCCAGGCTGTAATGAACCTGCATCACATCAGATCACATCTGTCTCTGAGCTGCAGGAACATGCTTCAGACCAGCCTCAGATCAGATCATGCCCTCTACACTCCTCGATATCATCTCTGCATGCTGTGAGAAACAAGTGTTGAATGCATAAATGTGCAACACAAGTGTAAGTTAGGTTTACACATGATGCGTGTGTCCCACAGTTATACATCCAAGGAGTCACAAGGGTTTCAGTAGTTATTGACTGTTGCCTGATGGGGGGGGTCAGCTGACAGCAGAACATCAGTTTGACTTTGAGAGTTTCTAAAGGTGTCTTCTTGCCGTCATGCTCTCACAGATCCTGTAACTGTAAACTGTGCAGAGACAACCTGTGACTCTCATTTTCCACCACAGCAGAGACGTCTGAATAAAAGATCAATCCCATTAAAGAAGGTACAGAAGTCCTGAAAGGCAAGTGAGGAACATCTGTGAGTCATTTCTCTCAGTCTGATCTGAATGGTTTCTCCTCTGTGTTTACGACTGACAAACAGGTCAAAGGAAAAAGGTGTGCCAGAATGTCTTCCATCTGAGGAACAGGTAAACAGGTGACCCTTGTTGTTGTTTACTCTAAGCTAAATATGACAAGATAACAACAGAACACATCATGATAACTTTATAATGCAGCTGACGTTACCTAGCTGTCTTTGTGTTGTTTACACTCTTAACACAACACATGTGCATTATGGGAAACGACTGGCATGTCTTGAAACTCACCTGGAAGAAAATATAAGAGTTTCTATAATGAAGAATATGCTGCACTGCCCTCTGGAGGCCAACATGAGCATTACAACTACACACACTTTCATTAAGCCTTATTCTTTAACACGTTTAAAGTCATAAACACAGGAGAGAGATGGGTCAGACCACCAGACTGCTTCTTTCTCATGTGCCTTTAAGGGCTTCTGTAGAAATGTGCAGCAATGCGTTGAACAGCAGTTCTTCTGAGTAGAAGCCTGGGATTCAAAGTAGATTTGAGTTGTATCAAGCTGGTTCTGTGACCATGACTGAAAACAAAAGGCCATGCATCATCTCTCCATCTTTCCTCTGATGCACGACGAGAGAAAGTCTGCAGACATCAGGCTGAGACTCACCAGCGTACAAAATGAGACCTTCCCACGAGAGAGGGGGGGGGGGGCGGACAGAAGACAGATTAAACATGAGGAAATGTGACATACAGTACAGAACATAGTAAAGAAAACACACTTTCTTTCCTCAGAATTTTGACAAAAGGATATTCCTGAAAGGTGTTGGGTTCCAGAAGATTTGCTTCCGGGTGCCTCGGCGGCAATTCAATGTTTTTGGTCCACTCATACAGAACATAGTAAAGAGAACATCACACGCTGCAGGATTCAAGAACCATGCAGAGCTTCCTCACCGTCTCCGTTATCGGGCCTGAAGGAGATTCTGATGCTGAAAGCCCGGTAAGCGTTCTTGATGGTGGGCAGCGTGAGGTAGGACAGCGGCTCCTGGGCGAAATACGGCATCACTCTCTCTGAAGGAAGGAGAAGCACAGGATCTCAGAGTTACGAAACCCTAATCATTTTTCCTACGAATTTTCCCTTTTGCTTTTTCACAGAATATGTTTTTTCTCAGAATTTTGACTTTTTCAAATTTTTCTCAGAATTTTGATTTAAAACAAAATAATCTCCGAATTATTTTTTTCTCCGGATTTTTACTTTTTCTCCAATTTGTGTCTTTTTCAATTTTTTCTCAGAATTGTGATTTTTTTCTCCGAATAAACGTTTTCTCAGAATTTTTACTTTTTCTCCAATTTGTGTCTTTTTAAAAAAAATTCTCAGAATTGTGATTTTTTTTAAAATGTTCTCAGAATAAACGTTTTCTCAGAATTTTTCATTTTTCATTTTTTCATCAGAATTTTTACTTAAAAAATAAAATAATCTCAGAATTATTATTTTCTCAGAATTTGGATTTTTTTTCTCAGAATTATGACTTCCTTATGATCGGAAATAAATGCACAAAAGGATATACCTGCCTGGACATGGATACTTTTTCCAGCTTGAGATTATCTTCCTGGTGCCTCATTTTTTTTAGTTAAGTTTGAATTGTTTGTTATTTTCTTCATGTTTTTTCGCCACATGCTGTAACCCTCCCTCCGCCCTGCAGACTGACCGTGGACCTGCAGCGAAGTGAAGGCCTCCACCTTCCCCTGCTTGTTGGAGGCGGTGCACACGTACGTCCCAGAATCCTCCTGGGTGACCCGAGGAACCGTCAGAACGTTGACATCCTGGAAACACTTGGGAGGAAGCTCTCCTTCCACCTGGAGACAGAGACACACACGATGAGTGAGAATACATATATTTAAAAGAAGAACTGGAGTCATATCCTCCTCAAAGTCAAAGAGTCAAAGTCACTTCAATATCTCTGGGAAATGTACATTAGTGCCAGACTGTCCATAGCAGCGTAAGAAGTGTCTACAACCTCACCTTAAAAACATACACATTGTCCCTGTAAGACTCCAGTCATTATACAATAGTTCCTAAAGATGTTAATAATTGTCAGGTGGTTCACCTTGGACCATCTGATCTCGGGGAGAGGGTATCCGGACGCCACGCATGGCAGCACGGCGTCAGAGCCGACCGTCACCTCTTTGGTTTCAGGCAGCGATGCGATCTGAGGGAGAGCTGAGAGACACAGAGGGTTTAATGATTAATGAGGGGAGACAGCTGGAGGCCTCAGTGGGAGTTCATCTCATTAATGACTCTCCCATTACCACACCATCACAAGCCTCCACAGAGAACCAAGAATACAAAAATAGTCTTGATGATTAGAAATACACATGGCCTGCGTTTACTAAAAGCAGACTATATGAAAACGTCCATTTACCAGAGCTGCTATTATAAGTTGACTAATGGTGAAGGTTGCATTCACACCTAAAGTCCGCTTCTTTGCACCAGACCACAGTTTGTTACATCGCTTCATTTTTCAGAAGGTTCGGTTTGCGTTCACACGGCGAAACTCAAACGGACTATAAACTTTAAACACAAGTCATGTGCTCGGAAAAGCTGTTCAACCATTGGTCAGACATTAAGGGGGAAAAAACGACATTTCTACCGTAGCCTCCACCATGGAGCACTGGCAGGTTATTTTCATGCTGCTGTTAATCTGGAGATCAACAGACTCTAGAGGACGGATCATAGGTTTATATAATCAGACAATCTGTGATAAAAAAACATCATAACACATATACTGAGAGACGTTCTGCAGTCAGGAGGTTTCCCCGACCACAGGTGGCTCTGATGAGATTGTACCACAGCCTTTTTGCTGCACGCCAGTGAGGTCAGCAGTCACAAGCAAATATACGTTTTGTACTCACACTGGACATTGAGCACCACCTGGCTCTGCACGGACCCCACGTCGTTGGTGGCGGTGCAGCGGTACTGCCCTGCGTCGGCCTCCGTCACCTGGTCGATCCTCAGCATGCCTTCCTTCACCATGATGTGGGAGGGCAGAGACCCGCCCACTTTACTCCACTTCACCGTGGGCTCAGGGTCGCCCACCGCCTGGCACTCAAACTCCACCGAGTTACCGATCATCACCGTCTGCACCGACGTACGGACGTTTATCATCACCTTCGGCAGGGCTGTGGAGGAGGAAGAACGTTAGATAGAAGTAGAGAAGGGATCAGAGAGAAGGGATCAGAGAGAAGGGAACAGAGAGAAGGGAACAGAGAGAAGGGAACAGAGAGAAGGGAACAGAGAGAAGGGATCAGAGTGAAGGGATCAGAGAGAAGGGATCAGAGAGAAGGGATCAGAGAGAAGGGAACAGAGAGAAGGGAACAGAGAGAAGGGAACAGAGAGAAGGGAACAGAGAGAAGGGATCAGAGTGAAGGGATCAGAGAGAAGGGATCAGAGAGAAGGGATCAGAGTGAAGGGATCAGAGAGAAGGGATCAGAGAGAAGGGAACAGAGAGAAGGGGTCAGAGAGAAGGGATCAGAGAGAAGGGAACAGAGAGAAGGGATCAGACTGAAGGAAACAGAGTGAAGGGATCAGACTGAAGGGATCAGACTGAAGGGATCAGAGTGAAGGGAACAGAGAGAAGGGATCAGACTGAAGGAAACAGAGTGAAGGGATCAGACTGAAGGGATCAGACTGAAGGGATCAGACTGAAGGGATCAGAGAGAAGGGATCAGAGTGAAGGGAACAGAGAGAAGGGAACAGAGAGAAGGGAGCAGAGTGAAGGGATCAGAGAGAAGGGATCAGAGTGAAGGGAACAGAGTGTAGGGAACAGAGAGAAGGGAACAGAGAGAAGGGATCAGAGAGAAGGGATCAGAGTGAAGGGAACAGAGAGAAGGAAACAGAGTGTAGGGAACAGAGAGAAGGGATCAGACCTTGGATGGTGAGTCTGGCGGTGTCCTGAGCCTGTCCGTACGCACTGCTTGCTCTGCAGATATAAACGCCTTCATTGCTCTGCTCCAGGTTCTCAATCCTGCAGACACACTCATTTAGACACAACATGAAACCATCATAATACTTTCTTTGAATTGTTATTCAAATGTTTTATGACGCATCACCTGAGCACGCCGTCCTTGATGTGGTGGTTGGGGGGGAGAGCTCCTCCCTCTTTGAGCCACTCCACCTTAGTCTCCAGACCTCCAGCTGCAGAACAGGTGAACTCCACCGCGCTGCCCTGAGCCTTCACCTCCACCTGGGGGGAGACCTTCACCGCCAGGGGGGCTAAAGGGGGAGAGAGTAAAGTCTTAGTTGCATCCTGAGGTTTTTTTTTTGTATTCTATAAATGTCTTCATAAATAATAGATAGATGCAGTTTTTCACCCAAAAATGCAACAGTACATTATCAAAGACTATTATCACTTTAGTTTCTTTGCATTGCTTAAACTATAGTACACGATACTTGCATGACGGGCAACGAACGGCAGTTTCGCCGCCGTCTCCCCAGCGAGAGATTTTGTGTACCGAATATTCAATTGAAAGAAAAACTGATTTTTATCATTTAGATTTTGTTTATTTAACTTACTCTATTTCAATATTCTGTTCAAACAGTATATATTTGAGTTTGTCTTTGAGCTTTAATGAACCGACTAAGCCTATGTTTACGGACGGACAAAGAGAACCCCGCCACACCTTTATAACTTATATATTCCATTAGTCCTGTAGTTGAAATAAGAGCCACCTCAATGATCCTAACTTTAAAGCAGAGAAGAAGTATATTTAGATTCCCCGTTTCCCAGTGGACTCACATCTCACGGTGACTCTAGCGATCACCTCGCTGTCGGCCACCTTGTTGCTGGCGACGCACTTATAACTCCCAGCATCCTCTGCGGTGGCCAGGTTGATCTGCAGGTCCCCCCCGCTGAGCTGCGCTCGGGGGGGCAGCTCTCCGTCCAGCTTGCTCCAGGTGTAGGTGAGGGGGGGGGGTCCCATGAGCAAGGCACTGCAGCCGGATCACCTCCCCCACCCGCACTGCAACATCATCGGGCATCGAGGTGGCGTAGGGAGGGGCTACAGGGAGAGAGGAGTAAATGTGAAATAATAGTATGTGGGACTGAATATTTATATACAGAGATGGCAAAAGTACACACATCCTTTACTCAAGTAGAAGTACAGATACTCGTGTTTAAAAATACTCTGGTGAAAGTAGAAGTACTGACTAAACTTCTTTACTCAAGTACAAGTTCTGAGTACTTCTACTTTTACTCAAGTACAAGATCTGAGTACTTCTACTTTTACTCAAGTACAAGATCTGAGTACTTCTACTTTTACTCAAGAACAAGATCTGAGTACTAGTAGGTAATAACCCTGTCCATCTCCCTCTCTGTGAGTATTTATATACAGAGATGGCAAAAGTACACACATCCTTTACTCGAGTAGAAGTACACACATCCTTAGGCGCGTTCACACCGCAGTACTTTTCCCACTTTAGTTCCGATATAGTTCAGAAATGTCGCGTTCACACCAAAAAGAGCCGGAACTCAAATTAGTTCATGAGAACCTTTTCACCCCCTTTTCAGTCCCTGCTAGAGAGCAGGTACTTTCGTGGGAGAAAAAGGTTCCTATGTCTGATTGGCTGGGAGGATTGCAAACCACGCCCCGTACAACTCCCAAAACGTTTTGTGAAGCCGCCATTTTATTATCCTCGCATTAGCATTATTAGCATTAGCATTCGCCCAGTGCACAAACGCAGAGAGACTAACTTATGGCAACACAAAAGAAAACATGGGAGCGGTGGAGATGAGGAGGTGTCGGCGTTCTGGCGATTTACTCGGAAGGCTTCAGTAGAAGCTGCTGGGAGTCCCAGCAGCTTCTACTGAAGCCTTCCCCAACTCCGGGGACTTCCGGCCGGGGACTCCGGGTGGCAGTATACGCCGGGAAGTTGTTTGCGGCCTGCCAGTAAACCCAAAGCAGAAGAAGACGAAGTGACACCAGCGGCTTCATTTGCCTAATCCTCCCTCAGGGACTTATTCCAGTGAGAACGCGATCTGTACTTAGTTCATCAGAACTAAAGAGTTCTGATGAACTAAAGTTCTGATGAACTAAGTACTGCGGTGTGAAAGCGCCTCTTTACTCGAGTAGAAGTACAGATACTCGTGTTTAAAAATACTCTGGTGAAAGTAGAAGTACTGACTAAACTTCTTTACTCAAGTCAAAGTAAAGAACTTTGAAATGTACTTCAGTAAAAAGTACCCATAACTAGCAGCTGTTTTAAAGAGTACCTGACCTCCCTTTATATTAATAGAACAATAATGTCATTGTTAGCTAATGAATGTTTCCATGCTGAACAACGGCAACATGACAACGTTTTCATTGGTCCCTCTTCTTTAGAGAAGACCAGGAAATGATGGATACACGGATCGTGTTCAAATCAATAGGCACGCAATGACTCTAAATAATAATGATCACGCCACCAGACACAGAATTGCAATGACAGAAAATACGAATTCATAAAAGTCTACTTCTCATGTCTCAGTGTTTAAATAAAGACATTGTGATACCTATGAAGGCCTTCCTTTCATTATCATTGAAAAATCAGACAAACAGTGATCAGATTTAAAAACTGGAAAATGTTCAAAAGGATACAGATACAAATAAAGCCTTCAGTGTTGCAGAGAAAGCAGGGCATATCAAATATCAGCAAATCATTAGACATTTAAATGCATATGTCAAGCGGGCATATTGTAAGGCTCGGTTAAGGAGAGATGTTTTTGGTGTCGTCTGTGGATCAAATCTGTTAAAGCAGTGTCTCCAAAGTCCCTCTCTGTTCACTAAGTCATTCAGAATCAGAATCAGAAGACCCTTATTCGTCCCACAGAGGGGAAATGCACATTGTTACAGCAGAAAAGAGCCAGCTTCATGTTAACTAAGAAAATGATAAATATGATCAGTTGAAGTTAAACCCAATGAGACTCACTCTCTACGTCCAGAGTGACGGTGACCTCGCTCGCCCCCAGGCTGTTGGTGGCGCTGCAGATATACTCTCCAGAGTCCTGGCGTCCGACAGAGGGCAGAACGAGACTGCCCCCCGTCACAGAGTGTCTCCAGGGGAGGGGGGAGCGCAGCTTGGACCAGCTGATGGTGGGGGGCGGGACACCTGGGGGGGAAGAAAGAGCAGAAATATATTCATTATAAGCTCAATTTATTTTGGAAACCATGATTTTAGTGATCTCAAACTCCAGCTGCACTGTTAGCAGATAGAACATCTTCACTATACGACCAGCGTGATCCAGATCCAGGTCTTGATTGTTTCCCCTCCCTTGTCCAGCTGTGTCTTGTCTTGTGATTCCTTGTTTCACCCGGTTAGTGTTTCTTAGTCTTTCTTTGCTTATTATCAGCTATTTTCCCCAACCCTACATAATGTGTCCTCACCGTGGGCCTCGCAGCGCAGCGTGGCGGTCCGGCCCTCCACCACCACCAGCAGGGGCTCAGGGACGGAGGCTCGGGGGGGCGAGGGCTCCTGGAGACCCCCCCCCTCCACCAGACCCCCCTCCACCAGGACCTCCACTCGGGTCTCCGAGCTGCCCTCGTTGCTGCGAGCCGAGCAGACGTACGTCCCGCTGTCCTCAGGGCGAGCAGCAAGGATCTGCAGGGGAGAGATGTTTATGCTACACGTGTTCTGATGTGGTTTTTAATATGCAAATGAGGCGCTATTCTAAGCTAACTGTTGGTGAGTTTAAGTCAACTCCTGGTTTCCTTTCCAATAATGTGACACATTTTGAACAGTGCATGATTTTCTGCTTCCTGTCGTGTCAGAGGAACTGTTTTATGGGATGTGTGTGTACCTGCATGATGGTATAAGGTTCAAGGTTCAAGGTTCAAGGTTCTTTATTGTCAATCTGACATAGCTACAGAGTAATTATGCAGTTGAAAATCTTATGTCACAGGCTTCTCCAACAATGCAACATAATAACATAACATAATAACAATAAGAGCATGAGCAATACAAAAATAATAATAGTTATAAAAATGAAATAAAGTTATGATGTGGAATAGTGCAGTATGAGTCTATATACAAGTTATTGGAATGATATATATATATTAGGTATTAGATACATACTACTGAGTAGCAGTTGAATGTTTGAAGTTGTTTCAACAGTTCAATTTTTTAACAGTCTCACTGCCCGCGGGAAGAAACTGTCTCCGAATCTTCTTGTCCTTGCCAGGATGCTGCGGTAACGTCTGCCAGACGGCAACAGAAAGAACAGTTTGTGGCTGGGGTGATGGGGGTCTTTGATAATCCGTAGTGATTTCTTCCTGAGCCGCTGGGAGTAAAGGTCCTCCATGGATGGCAGCTCCGTCCTGGTGATGTGCTGTGCAGTTTTCACCACCCTCTGTAAAGCCTTACGATCGAGGTCGGTGCAGCTGCCGTACCAGGCCGTCATGCTG